TTGTAGAAACTATGCACAAAATATCATGTTAATGAGTCCACCAAAAATGGGTAATTTGTATGAAAAATACCTAGTGGTTCCAAACTTTTGCACGGTAGTGTATAACAATACGGGTAAAACACCGGCGCTCCGAGGTTTTCATACAAACTTCCCATGTAGACTTCCCCGAAACAGGCAAAAATCGAAAAAAAAGTTTAATTTTTTTTTCGATTCTCATATAGTATTTTTTTTGCCCAATCCATTGGTGTTATCGCCACATCGAAATTCGGGCTCCTTATCACTTAATTTGCATCATGTGGTAAATGCGAGTGACGTCATCAATAGCTCGGGAATCAATTGAAATGGAACACACGGAAAAATATTCGAGTAACGGAACAATGTGATACAGATCCATTCATATGAAACAATGCGGGAGGATTCGTTCATGCCGACACTGCAGACAAAAAATCTATCAAAACGGAACACCGCAAAGCGAAATACTTAAAACGGCACATGCTATGTTTCATTCTTACGGATTTCTTTTCCATGTTCCATTTTAATGGATTGCTTTATTTTTGTTTCGTATCTGTGTATTGAGCGACGAAAGTCTCATGTTCATTTCAACCGCATCAAAGTTAATATATAAGTTTTCGTAAAAATATCATCATACCCTAGAAATCGTCACATTTGAATCGTCGAATTTTCTACAAGATTATTGCAATTTATTGAATGTGTTCGGTATTTTCATATTCAGCTGCACAAGTAAATGATTTGATGAATATCGAACTACTTTTACAAAAAAAGGTTAAACATAAACTTTATACATAAAATTTAATCACAATCATACGAATCTTTAAGGTAAATGGAGCCACAATAATATATTTTGCGAAAGTTGTTACAGGGCCGCGAGCGAAGCGAGCGGAAATTTTCTTGATAACTTGTAACCTTGAATGCAATTTCTCTTCAATCTATAATATTTTTTCCCTTTCCGGATTTCGGGGGGGGGGGGGGGGGGTTTGAACCCCCAAACCTGGAATACCCCCAAACCTGGATACGCCACTGAAGTATGATAAGGATTTTGGCGGTGACATACATATAACTTATTCATTGAATATTTTTTTCAAAAATTACATATACCTCTGACATTCAGCCGAAAATCGCTTTTAATTTGGTTATGTTCACCGTTTCCATTTTCCGCATACAACGTATAGATTCCCGAATCTCTGACCGTCACATTACTCAATGTCAATGTAATAATCTTACCATTTTCTGTGCTTGTGAATGAAACACTTTTGTTACTTGATTCGGAGCCCCATGGAATTTTGGCACCGTTGTTAGATCGCCAATCAAATGATGGATTGGGATATCCAATTAATTCTGCTGTCCAATTTGCCGTTTCATTGGCGTTTGTTGTTAAATTAACCGTAGATACTGGTTTTATATTGACAAAAGTGCTGCAGATATCTAATAAAAACGTGTATAACAGTTCAATGTTATTGTTTTTTGTTTTCAATTCAGATAACAACCAGAAATTATTCAAAAAAAGAACATTTTTGATCGAAAGCCAAATGATTTGTCTAAAAAAGAGTTCATCGTAATCATCGAACTCACCCAATATTTTATCAACTTTTATCGTCGCAGAGTCGAGTATCCATGTGCCATCGAATGTTAAATTACATCGATAGTCACCGGAGTCCTTGTTCTTATCTAATTTGCTCACCATCATTCGATAGATGTAATCGCATCTTTCTCCATCACAATTTTCCTTGATAACATCCAACTGTTTTATACGTTCATCCTATATGAATGGGGAAAAAGATTGGATTAAATTCTAATTAATGATGATTTGGTTTTTGTATTGCCTCAATACGTTCGAATTGCCGTTTGTTCAACTACACCACTAAAGCGAGAAACGTCACTTATTCTTTTTTCTTTATTAAAGAAAAAGAATTTTGGCAGTGCGGGACTCGAACACCGCATACTCAGATTGCCGGTCTGATGCTTAACCATTCAGCCACCTGCCGAACGACGTTTTAGCTCGCTAGTAATTCAGTTGAACGTAGGCTCAAAGTGTGACAAGCATTGCCATTACACACATTGTTTTTGCAGTGTGAATTGAAATGAAAATAAATGCTTCTGACCGTCCGTGCAACATTATTGTTTGGGCTCTCCCAAACCATGACTAAAGGATTATCCAACAGCGGTTTTAAATTGGTATGTCTTATTGTACAGTTCAGTTCCATTTCACTACCCTCGAGTTCAAAATCGACCTTTTTCCTTGTTATATCTGTTTTGAGAGAACAATTGGAGGGGGCGATCAAAGGAAACAATTGGATCAAGTGAATCCATCTTAGGAATGAATTAGTCTTCCTCAATAAATTTACTATTCAAAGAAATCATTCTTTTGCACATACCGATATCGACAATTTCACCAAATGCAATATCGCTTTCATTTTCCTCTCCTTCGTATCCGACTGATACAACGGCGAGCTCATAGATTGACCCCACTGACACACCGTCAACTATGACAAAATCTTCGTCATCGATTCTTTTGGTATAGTTCCATTTTTCATCGCCTTTCTTTCGGTATTTTGCTGTGAAGTTTGTTCCAGGATTTCCATCAACATTTGGATGCCAATTCATTCTGATAACATAATTAGAATAGAGATGTTCTTTTGGCGTTGGCATTTGCATCCATGTCAAAGTTGGTTTATCTGGTGTGCCGGCTGGTTCAGTCGATAGTGTTTTACTTTCAATCACTTTGAATCTAGTATTTGGTATAAATGGTATATTTTAGAATGTAAGAATGATAAGAATGAGTGTATGAATAGTTTATGGAATGAGAGAGCAATGAGTTGACACGTCTAGCTATGTGTAGTGTATAGAATGAACTGATTTTTATTAACTCTTTCTTACGTATTAAACCTTGCGCTTGTGTGAACGCAGCACACCAGCGCTACACTAGTGAAAGGAATATACCGGAAATTCCTCAAATTTATTTGATTATCCTTTACAAAAATCGTTCAATGTGTTCGAAAGCACAATTTCTTCGGAAAAAAAAATTGAGCCAAAAATATTAGAATATCCAAAAAGTGAGACTTACACTTGATCTTCATTCTCTTTATCCACCGTGTGGATGAACAATCGATAGGTGGTGTTTGGTTTTAGTCCCGTTAATTTGGTTTGAGTTATGAGAGTTTGGTCAATTGGTGGCTGGCGTTCTTTTTTTGTTCCAAGCCCATCTGTTTCGCTATGTTCTTGATAGAAAACTTTGTAGCCCTTAATTTCGAAGTTTGGTTTTTGCCATTGCAGAAGAAATGCCGTTGTACTTAAAGGGAATGCCTTCAAATCGCAGTTCATTTCAAATGCATGCACATCGGCATCTGCCTTAGATTTGCCGCGTTCGTTTGCAGCCACAACTTTAAAGATATAGTTTTCATTAAATTGATCTGAAATGGTGGCACTGGTTTCACTTGTTGTAAAGTTGAAGAATTCGTTTGTAGAGTTGGGTCTCCAGTGCACATGATATTGTACTATGTCATTTCCCTCAACTGGATCCCATGAAATTTTAAAACCCGAGCAATCCATGTTCATTTCTGATTTAATACCATCTGGATTTTGCAGCCCCTGTTCAAGCACCAATTTTGTGACACTGTCCACTCGAATTAGATATTTTTCATAAGATTTGCATTTATAGTCGCCGGCATCAGACATTTCGACACTTTTAATTTCTAATTTCGGGCCGTTGATTGCCATTCGTGGGTCTTTTGTCAAATTGAGCTCTTCATCGTTCTTGAACAACAGGATCATTGAATTCTTGGTGGCATCTAAATCGCATTCGATTTCCACCGAATCGCCTATGACAGCTTTCTGTACACGCCGTTTGGTATTGACCCCAACCGGCATTTCCACGACAATTGTAACTCTTTTCAATGTAATCCATGTGGGCCCTTTTCTTGGTGATACCACGTCTATTCTACAACTATATTCATTGGCATTTCTAGGTTGAATATTTTCAATGATCAAATTGCCGTTGTCATGAATGGATTTAATTGATGGGTTATCATTTTCATTGATCT